GAAGTAGAAAGAGAAAAGAGGTGTAGGCCCAAGCAATTGGAAAAAAATGAAGAGAAAGCTGTTTTTAAAAATTAAGAACTGGCCGGGTGCTGTTGGCTCACGCCTATAATCCTAGCTACTCAGAAGGCTGAGATCCTCGGATTGGTTCAAAGCCAACCCGGGCAGGAAAGTCCTGGGCAGGAAAGTCCTGGAAAGTCCGTGAGACTCTTATCTCCAATAAACCACTCAGAAAATTGGAAGTGCTGCTGTGGCTCAAGTGGTAGAGTGCTAGCCTTGAGTTGAAGAGCTCAGGGACAGCACCCAGGCCCAGAGTTCAAATCCCGCGACCAAAAAAAAAAAAAAATTAAAAACTACCATTCTAAAAGGACTTGGCATAAGAGTAGTGGGCAAAGGCTCAATAGCTATAGACAGATGATAATATAAAATAATAGTCTATGAAATGAGGCTGGGAAGGTGGCTCAGAGGTAGAGTGCTTGCCTTGCATGCATAAAGTTGGATGGGGCACTGTGGCACAAGTGGTAGAGCGCTAGCCTTGAGCTGAAGAGTTGAGGGACAGCGCCCAGGCCCAGAGTTCAGGCCCCAATACCGACAAAAAAATTAAAAAGCCCATAAAATGAACTCCCAAAAAAAGGAAACAGGAGAAACTCTAGTTTTCTGGGTTTTTTGTTTTTTGTTTTTGTTTTGGGTTTTTTTTTTTTTTTACTGTGAAAATACTGTACAGAGGGGTTACAATTACATGAGCAAGGTAATGAGTACATTTCTTATCAAGCATCGTTGCCTCCTCCTTTGTTTCCCCTTACCATACCTTCCCATCTCCCTCCACACACACCCCTGGTCCTCCCTTCCCTGTTTTTGTTTCTTTGTCGGTTGTGGGGCTTGAACTCTAGGCCTGGGGCTGTCCCTGAGCTCTTCAGCTCAAGGCGAGCACTCTAACTCTTGAGCCACAGTGCCACTTCCAGTTTTCTAGTGGTTTATTGGAGATAAGAGTCTCACGGTCTTTCTTTTTTTTGGGTGGGGGGGAGAAGGGGGGGTCCGGTTGTGGGGCCTGAACTCTGGGCCTGGGCACTGTCCCTCAGCTCTTCAGTTCAAGGCCAGCACTCTACCACTTGACCCACAGCGCCACTTCCAGCTTTTTTTCTTTTTGTTTATGTGGTGCTGAGGAATCAAACCCAGGGCCTCGTGCATGCAAGGCAAGCGCTCTACCACTGAGCCACCTTCCCAGCCCCATCTCACGGTCTTTCTTGCACGGGCTGGCTTTGAACCGTGATCCTCAGATCTCAGCCTCCCGAGTAGCTAGGATTACAGGCGAGAGCCACCAGCATAGTTTTCTGTTTTTGTTCTCTTTTCCTTTTATATTGCTTATTACTTTGTTTGTATTTGGGAGGGTAAGAGAAGGCACATAAAAGGTGAAACAAGGATGAACAAATACAGCAGGGATACCAGACACCATGTAGAAAATGAACTGGATATCTTATGGGTGGGGATGGGAGGGAAAGATTGGGAAAGAGCCCTGGAAGGGGGAAAATGGTTCAAAAAGAATTATACTGATGGTACTTGATTCATGTAACTATAACTACACACACACACAGACACACACACATAAAATAAGTGTAAAAAGGGCTGGGAAGTTGGCTCAGTGGTAGAGTGCTTGCCTTGCATGCCTGAGGCCCTGGGTTCGATTCCTCAGCACCACATAAGCAAAAAGAAAAAAAAAAAAAAAAAAGCTGGAAGTGGCGCTGTGGCTCAAGTGGTAGGGCGCTAGCCTTGAGCTGAAGAGCTGAGGGACAGTGCGCAGGCCCAGAGTTCAGGCCCCACAACCGGACCAAAAAAAAAAAAAAAATAAGTGTAAAAAACCCAAGTCATTAACTTCATGAATACCATTATTTTATTCTATTTCTCTACTATTCAGAATTTGGAAATAAAGGGAAAAAAATCAAGTACTTGAAAATAGCAGGAAATCAAAGACAAGCTTAGGCAAAACAAACAAATGCTCAAGACATATTGCTAAAATAGCAATCAATAGAATTCTATGGTAAGAGGGCCTTGTGGATGCTTAAAATTACTTAGTTTATACACTATTATTTGGACTTACTTTAGAAAATAAAAAAAATTCAGAAAGGAAAAAAAAGACTTGGTATAGATGATTTCACAAGCCACTTTTTGTGCTGGAACTAGGACTGGAACTCAGGACCTTGCCCTCTTGTTCAGCTTTTTTTTTTTTTAATTCTGTGCTGTTACTTTACCAGTTAAATCGCACCTCTAGTTCCAGATTTTTGCTGGTTAATTGGAAATAAAATTCTCTCCAATTTAGGGGCTGGGAAGGTGGCTCAGTGGTAGAGTGCTTGCTTGGCATGCATGAGGCCCTTGGTTTGATTCTTCAGTACCACATAAGCAGAAAAAGCCGGAAGTAGCACTGTGGCTCAAGTGGTAGAGTGTTAGCCTTGAGCTGAAGAGCTGAGGCACAGTGCCCAGGCCCAGAGTTCAGGCCCCACAACCAACAACAACAACAACAACAAAAAGTCTCTCAGATTTGTCTGACCAGGCTGGTTATGAACTGTGATCCTTAGATCTTAGCCTCCTGAATAGCTAGGATTACAAACATGAGCCACCAGTGCTTGGCTCTTAAACTACTTTTTTTGTGTCTTCCAAAGGATAATTCCTATACTACATAATTATAGTTAAGTATGCAGAAAAGGTGGGTCTTTTCATATTTTAATAGCATTAACAAAATCCCAATATGATAACCAAACAAAGTTAGCTCCAAAATAAGAAGAAAGCCATAGACCAATTATGAATATACATGAAAACTAGGCACAGAAATAGTAAAAATGGGGTCTAAAGGTATTCAAACTAAATCCGGGCACTGGGGGTCATGCCTATAGTCCTAGCTACTCAAGAGGCTGAAATCTGAGGATTGTGGTTCAAAGCCAGCCCCAGCAAGAAAGTCCGTGAGAGTCTTTTTTTCGGGTCCGGTCGTGGGGCCTGAACTCTGGGCCTGGGCGCTGTCCCTCAGCTCTTCAGCTCAAGGCTAGTGCTCTACCACTTGAGCCACAGCGCCACTTCCGGCTTTTTTCGTTTTGCTTATGTGGTGTTGAGGAATCGAACCCAGGGCCTTGAGCATGCAAGGCAAGCGCTCTACCACTGAGCCATCTTCCCAGCCGCCGTGAGAGTCTTATCTCCAATTAACCACCAGAGCACTTGCCTTGAGCTGAAGAGCTTAGGGATAGCACCCAGGCCCAGAGTTCAAGCCCCATGACAGACAAATGCACACCTCCTATAGGCTTTAACTCAGCAATTTACAAATGGTTCTTTAAGAAATTTGATGTAATTTGAGGCCAACTTAGGCTACATTAATGAGACCCTGTCTCAAAAAAGAACTTTTCTGCATCAAAGGATATTACCAAAAATAATATAAAACTATAAACTAGTGGAACATATTTGGAAATCATTTATCATGTAAGAATTTAATATCCAGAATATATCAGAACAACCCAACAATTTAAAGATATACAACCCAATGAAAAAATACACTGAGTTCAAGCTCCACACTGACAAAAAAAATGCACAAAATGCCAGGCATTGGTGATTGACACTTGCAATCCTAGCAACTAAGGAGAATGAGATCTGAGACCCTTTGTTCAAAGTCAGCCCAGGCTTTTATGCTTTAGATCCAGTTAATTCAGAAAATATTTAGGGGTCACCATGCACTTTTTAATTTTAATAACTTTTTCTCCCCTTGTCTCCCCATTCACAATACAGACTAGGCACAGGCCTGGCTGAGGTGTATATGGGGTAGGTTTACTCTGCCTCCTCTTTCTATACTGTCAGTGTAAAAACACAGCCTGTGGTAAGCACCCGGAGGCCTTTTTTTTTTTTTTTTTGTCTTGGGGCCTGAACTCTGGGCCTGGGTGCTGTCCCTCAGCTCTTCAGCTCAGGGCTAGGGCTCTACCACTTGAGCCACTGTGTCACTTCCAGCTTTTTCTGCTTATGTGGTGCTGAGGAGTTGAACCCAAGGCCTCATGCATGCAAGACAAGCACTCTACCACTAGGCCACCTTCCCAGCCATCCTTTTAATAACTTTCTGAAATAGTTATTCTAAATCTCATTCATGTGAAGATACTGAGGATAAGTAAAATAATAATAATAAAGTATAAAATACCAATGAATAGAGCTGGGAAGGTGGCTCAGTGGTAGAGTGCTTGCCTTGCATGCATGAGGCCCTGGGTTCGATTCCTCAGTGCCACATAAGCAAAAAGAAAAAAGCCGGGGGGCTGGGAAGGTGGCTCAGTGGTAGAGCGCTTGCCTTGCATGTTCGAGGCCCTGGGTTCGATTCCTCAGCACCACATAAGCAAAAAGAAAAAAGCCGGAAGTGGTGCTGTGGCTTAAGTGGTAGAGCGCTAGCCTTGAGCTGAAGAGCTGAGGGACAGTGCCCAGGCCCAGAGTTCAGGCCCCATGACCGGACCCAAAAAAAAAAAAAAGAAAAAGAAAAAAGTCGGAAGTGGTACTGTGGCTCAAGTGGTAGAGCGCTAGCGTTGAGCTAAAGAGCTGAGGGACAGCGCCTAGGCCCAGAGTTCAGGCCCCACAACTGGACCAAAAAAAAAAAAAAAAAAACCAAAAAACCACCAATGAAATAATATATAAGTTAAATAATAAATTAAATAAATAAAAAATATATAATAATTTTCCTACATTGGCCTGGAGTTTCACCAGGACAAGAATACCATATAGTCACTACTCAACAAATGTAGCAATGGGGGCTGGGAAGGTGGCTTAGTGGTAGAGCACTTGCCTTGCATGCATGAGGCCCTGGGTTTGATTCCTCAACACCACATAAGCCAGAGGTGGCACTGTGGCTCAAGTGGTAGAGCGCCAGCCTTGAGTAGAAGAGCTGAGGGACAGCGCCCAGGCCCAGAGTTCAAGCCCTACGACTGGACCTCCTCCCCCCCCCCCACCCCCAAAAAAATAATGTAGCATGCATTAACCTTTTTCTTTTTCTACAGTACCTTGGCCATGTGGAAGTTGATGAGTCAAGAGGAATGCACATCTGTGAAGATGCTGTAAAAAGACTGAAAGCTGTATGTATATGATGGTTGTCAGTATTGATCTGTAGCCTATCAATATTTTCCTTCAAAGTTGTATTCAGTAAATTTTAGTTTTCCTCTATCCAGTGAAGAGCTGTTTTTATTGAGGCAAGAGATATAGGCTCATCAGGCAGGCACAGGGACTGACTCACATTTATAATCCTACTTACTTGGGATGAGATCAGGAGATCACATTTCAGGGCCAGCCTGGACAAAAAGTTAGCAAGACCTCATCACAACAGAAAAATAATGCTGGGCATGGTGGCATGTGCCTGTCATCCAAGCTAAAGTGAGAATCATCTATAGTATCAAAATCTAACCCAGCCCAGGCCCAAAGCAACACCCTGTCTCAAAAATAACCATTGCAAAAAGGGTTGGAGGCATGGCTCAAGTGTTAGAGTGCCTGCCTAGCAAGCTCAAGGCCCTATGTTCAAACCACAGTACCACAAAAAGGATATGGGCTTACAAAAAAAAAGAACATCTCTAGCTTCTTTAATTTAGGCCATACATTATCCAAAATGTAGTCTTGATTTACCATGATCCATATAATCTAAGTGGTGCAATTTGATAGAAGAATAATATTATAAAACCCGGATAAAATTGTTACAGTTAACATCTTTACCTAACTGTGATAACTGTTATTTTCAGTTTGAATTATTGATTTTTAAATATAAGAAACAGCTTTCTAGGAAAAAGTAGAAAATACCTGTAGAGATACCTGTGTTAATCCCTAAGATTTACTTTGCGGGGTGGGAGTGGCCCTTAATGATTTCTCATTATCATCTTGGCTCCTAGTTCCCAGTTTTCTCTCTATACTTCTCTTAAGCAGTCTGTTTCAATAAACTAGTACACTTGAAATAGCCCTTTTCTAGAACCAGTAATGTTTCTTTGGTCTGTTATATCTTGAAACACATCCCACGTACATGTCTGTGTATTTAGTAAAAGGAGAGAATGGTTCATAGTTCACAAGGGTCCAGATTAGAGTGCTGATTTCAGTAGGTCTGAGGAATGTTCCCACAGACTCTGAAATAACTCTTGACAAGTTTCCTTCTCTCCAATGTGTAGCTTTTCCCCACTTTGCTGTGAAGGCTTCAGCATTACTTCTGCATGCCCTTACCAAAGCAGCATTAAGTTTGTGTTGCTTTGGGTTTGCTGGTATGGTGGGCTGCTGCTACAAGTTTGACTACTAATGAGTGCTTTTTGTTTGTTTTTCAATTTGCTAAGTAACTATAGCTTTTCTGCTTGTTAGTATAGTTCACATTACATTACCTCTTAACTATAATTCCTCAATGTATAATATATGAAATTTTCAAACATTGCAGAGAGGTTTAACTTTAGAGTAAATGCCTTAACCTGTTGTAGAAAAGAAAGGAGAAAAATAACTGGATGTAGAATGCCTAGAACAATCACAACCAAAAGTGTACACAGGTACACTTTCCTTCATATATACCTATATATATATACTTTTGCTTCTGATTTAAATTCTTAAATGATTGAAGCCCTTCCCAGTTTTTCTGTCTTCCCAATTCATCAATATTAAGAGGACATATATCCAATGCACTTAGGAACATGAAAACTATAATTTTATAGATTTGATATATCTGAACATATTCCCTAATTAAATGCAGATCGATAATTTAATTTTCCATTTTTTGCCAAACTAATTTCAAAGAAAAATAGAGGTTCAGTTTCTTCTCTTGAAAAATAATTTTGGCTCCTCTAAAAGACAAATGATTCTAGCTAAGAATATTTGAAAATAATATAATTGCTTTCCCTACTTAAAAATATTTTACAACACTATATTAGTAGTAACTGCAAACAGAAAAACCAGTAAACGGACTCAGTAAGCCTGAAACAAACTGTAATTATTAAATTTTAAAACTAGATGTTATAAAACTATATGTGTAATGAACCTTTAGGAAATCATTTAATTCTGATTCTGGCATCACATTTCTTCTCTAAGGAAAAGCTAAAGATGATTTAAGTTTGTCCAGAAAATACTGAGAAATTGTATCTCATTGTTTGTTTATTTTGCCAAACCTGTGGCTTGAACTCAGGGCCTGGGCATTGCCCCTGAGCTTTGTTTGTTCAAGGCTAGTACTCTACCACTTGAGAGCTACAGCACCACTTCCAACCTTTTCTGTTGATGTGATACTGAGAAATCGAATCTAGGGCTTCATGCATGCTAGACAAACACTCTACCACTAAGCCACATTCCCAGCCCTGTATCCAATTGTTTTATTTTTAAATTTTAGTTTTAACTTTTAATTAGAAATATTTCTTTATTGGATAGGTAATATATTTATTGTGTAAAATACAAATGAACTTGAAAATTCACAACTAAAGTAAGATCTCTTACAATTCCCAAAATAACCAATATTTAACCATCTAGTTTTAAATTAAGTTTGGAAGCAGTGGTGGTACTATGGTTTGAACAGATAAAGAGCCTTAAGCTTGTGAAGGGTATGTTCTACCCTGAGTCATGCCTCCAAGCCCATTTTGCTTAAGTTATTTTGGCGGTAGATTGTCTCATTTTTATCCGGTCCAGTCTAGATCACAGTCCTTCTATTTATACTTCTGCCATAGCTGAGATGACAGGAACACACCTGGATACCAGCTGTTTTGGTTTAGATGGGGGTCTATACATTTTTTTGCCCAGGCTGGACTCAAACTGTAATTCTCCCAGCCTCCACCTCCTGAGTGTCTAGGATTACCAGTGCAAGCCACCACTGCCTAGCTGTTTTTTTTTTAATTAATTAATTAATTTTTTTGGTCAGTGGTGGGGCTGGAACTCTAGGCCTGGGCACTGTTCGGAGCTCTTCAGCTCAAGGCTAGAGATCTACCACTTGATCCACAATGCCACTTCTAGCCTTTTCTGTTTATGTGATGTTGAGGGCCTCATGCATGGAAGGCAAGCACTCTACCTCTGAGCTACCTTCCCAGCCTCCCAAGTTTTTACTTTTTTAAAGCCAAGTAGACTGCTAATTATAAGCATAGTTATTTAAGGTGCAGGACTATTTAGATAAAATGTAATGAATTTCTATTTACCAGAAATAGGAACTAAATTGCCATTTAAAAAAATTATGCCTGGAATAAATTTCTGAAATGAATATACAAGAAGTCCAGTCCCAGGGCTGGGAAGGTGGCTCAGTGGTAGAGTGCTTGCCTTGCATGCATGAGGCCCTGGGTTCAATTCCTCAGCACCACATAAGCAAAAAGAAAAAAGCCGGAAGTGGCGCTGTGACTCAAGTGGTAGAGCGCTAGCCTTGAGCTGAAGAGCTGAGGGACAGCACCCAGGCCCAGAGTTCAGGCCCCATGACCGGACCCCCCCCCCCCAAAAAAAAAAGTACAGTCCTCAATAGGTGATCAAATTGGATTTTATAATGATCATAATTATATCTTATGTTGAATATTTTAAGGTTTAAAAACATTTTGTATATCTCTATAACAATCCTTATCTCTGAGTGGTATTTTATGACTTAAAGAAAGTTCTACAGGGGCTGGGAAGGTGGCTCAGTGGTAGAGCACTTGCCTTGCATGCATGAGGCCCTGGGTTCGATTCCTCAGCACCACATAAGCAAAAAGAAAAAAGCCGGTAGTGGCGCTGTGGCTCAAGTGGTAGAGCGCTAGCCTTGAGCTGAAGAGCTGAGGGATAGCGCCCAGGCCCAGAGTTCAGGCCCCACGACCGGACCCAAAAAAAAGAAAGTTCTACATACATTGGAGATTGCTTTTCTGGACATACTTAAACTATTGAGCTTGGAAAGAAAATTGATCAGTAGTAGAGCATCTGCCTAGCAGGTGAACTCTTGAGTTCAAACCCCAATACCACCATAAATTTTCATCAAAAAGTTATTTTAAAGTTCTCAGAGTTTCTCCATGACTTGGAACAGTTAAGTGTAGTTTTGCTTTAGCAAGTACATTAAAAAATCATTTTTAATTTTTGAGTAACTGGGATAAACTTCCTACTTATTATGCTCAGTGAAACTTTTCCTTTGTATTAATACCCTTCTGGTACCATACTGAGAATCTTTCAGAGAGTTGGGAATCTTTAGGATGCTGTCCTCACATCATGCAGGTCCACATGTACTCATTATTTTTGTCTTTCTTTCACATTCCTATTATGTAGAAATATCAAGGTACCTTCATTTTTGTCTTTGACCTTCTTCTAGTAAGCATTCACTAAGGATCTACAACTTGCTGTACCAGATACTTATTGTACCATATATTATGCTCTAGAAGCTTTTTGTTTGTTTTTTAAAAGATCTTAAAGCTTTCTGTTAAGAATTTCAAATAAATGGAAACAAATGTAGGGTATATATTTGATGAGGATTACAGAAGAGAAATCTTTGGAATCTGTTTGAATGTCAAAATTTTAAAATACAAAGAATTATGTAGCTCAAAAGATAGTTTGCAAGTCTAGTTTGTATGTATGCAAATCTCTCATCTAATCCCTTACAATTTAGAATCTCTGACTTCATCTGAGTCACCTGCTTAGTTGATAGTCTCAATTTTAAAAAATCACTGAACAAGACGGTTTTAAAAATATGATCCTCAAGCCAAATACTTTATTTTTGGTTCTTACACTTTCTGCACATGGATTGTTTTACAACTATTTACAACTCATTTAGTTTTTTTAATAGTTTCACTAACCACCATAGGACTGGATTATGTAGGGGAAATGACAAAAAAATGGCTATTGCCTATTTTTGTCTATATGTTGCAGGGTAAGGAACACTGCCATTTATCAATCAACTGGGTAATATTGTATGAGGTCTTTAGGTATCTTGTTTCACTCTGGTCTACAATGCCTTTCATTTTTTAAGACCATTTCCTTCCATTACATCTTAAATATTTCTCTCTTTCTGTCTTGGTTTTAAACTAGTTTCATTATACTACTAGTTCCTCATATGTTGGTTTTGTTCATTATTTGATATATTTGTTTTAATATATGTTCTTGTTTTAGCAGGTAAAAGAATCATAACTTAATTATTTTAAAAGAACATTAATATTCTCTAATAACTGTCTTTTAATGCATTTTTCACATCAACTTTTATCATTAACATCTGAGGCCCTTTAGAAGAGGGAAAACACCATGTTTAACAAGAACATTTCTAAGAGCTACACTAAATATTAACAATCTTCAGTCTCTTCTCTATCCTCTGTGAATGGTCAATTTTTTTAACTTGGGCTGCATCCCATTCTTGAAAGCTGATATTTACTTACAGTCTAACAAAACTAGTCCTAACAAACTTGGCAGCAGAAATAATTTCATGCTTGCTTTGATACCCAGGTTACTTTATTATTTTTTTACCTCCAATTTGAAATATTTTGTGGAAATATTGATGCTATGTGTAACTTTAAAAACTCAGTATTTGAGGGCATTGAATAAGTTCATAAATTGTCACATTCCAGTAGAGTTGTCTTTTTTCTAAATATTTTTCTAACAATCAAAAGTGGTGATTGGCTGGGTACCAGTAGCTCACATCTATAATCCTAGCTACTCAGGAGGCTGAGATCTGAGGATCACTGTTCAAAGCCAGCCTGGGTAGGAAAGTCCATGAGACTCTTATCTCCAGTTCACCACCACCAGAAAAACGAAAGTGGTGCTGTAGCTCAAGTGGTAGAATGCTCTCCTTAAGCTGAAGATCTGAGGGACAGTGCCCAGGCCCAGAGTTCAAGCCCCATGACCAAAAACAAAAAAAAGTGATAATCATGAATAGTAAAGGCTCAAAAGTATAATTCAGCCTTAGTTAGAAAATATAGTTAAACTATGTTGGATGAGTTAGAACCAAACTGCTTTTCAAGTGTTCTTTAGTTTGTGACAAATTTTTGTAACCAGTACTTAAAATTGATGGTGGAGCCATAGATCACTGTGCCTCTCTTACCATGTGGGTTCAGAATTGTATACTTAAAAATATCAATGCAGGGGCTGGGAAGGTGGCTCAGTGGTAGAGCACTTGCCTTGCATGCATGAGTCCCTGGGTTTGATTCCTCAGCACCACATAAGCAAAAAGAAAAAAGCCGGAAGTGGCACTGTGGCTCAAGTGGTAGAGCACTAGCCTTGAGCTGAAGAGCTGAGGGACAGCGCCCAGGCCCAGAGTTCAGGACCCACAACCGAACCCAAAAATAAAAAAATTAAAAAAAAAAATCAATGCAGATATCTTTATTTTAAAACAATGTCATTTTAAAAGAAAACAAAACCTTGTTCTTTAAATCTTGCTTGTAGTCCCAGATGTGATTTGGTTCTCAGATATATTTGCTGAGCGCCAAGGTAAAAATTAACCTTGTGATCCTTATAAACAATGTATTCTGTATCTAGAATAGAATGTATCTGCTATTTCTCAACGTATTGTGGAGACACATCTTGATTTTAATGCATAAATAAATGGAAAATCATTAATGAAGCTTATCTTCTGTAGAATGGGAGCCTCTCTAGATCACATCATTGGCTGAGTAAGAAAATGTATGACAAAAACATTCGATGCATACTCCTAATTTTATTTTACATGTTGCAGTTTTTATTTTGTTTTCAGTAGTTCTGGGTATCAAAACAGGGCCTTACATAGATTAAGGAATCGCTATACCACTAAATTACATACCCAGGCTTGCTGCAGTGTTTATGTGATTGTTTGATTTTAACTAATGATTTTTATATCATTGACAGTATATTGATCACTTATTTTTTGTTTGTTTTTCATTGGGGGGGTGTTTGTTGGTTTGTTTTTTAATTGAACTCAAGCATTTTACTACTTGAGTCACACCTCTGGTCCATTTTTGGCACGGTTCTTTTCTTTTTTTTGGGGGGGGGGTCCGGTCGTGGGGCCTGAACTCTGGGCCTGGGCACTGTCCCTCAGCTCTTCAGCTCAAGGATAGCACTCTACTTGAGCCACAACGCCACTTCCAGCTTTTTTCTTTTTTTGCTTATGTGGTGCTGAGGAATCGAACCCAGGGCCTCATGCATGCAAGGCAAGCGCTCTACCACTGAGCTACCTTCCCAGCCCTGGCACGGTTATTTTCATGATATGGTTTTGTTTCATGGGCAAGCTAGCCCGGGTTACAATCCTCTTCATTGTGCTTCCCCTGTTGCTGGAGATGACACCCAGCCATTGGTTGAGATGGAGTCTCACAAATTTTTCTGCTAGGATTACATTCTTTTTTCTTTTTCTTTTTACCAGTCATGGGGCCTGAACTCTGGGCTTGGGCTCTGTCCCTCAGCTCTTCAGCTCAAGGCTAGCACTCTACCACTTGAGCCAGAGCACCACTTCTGGCTTTTTCTGCTTAGGTGGTGCTGAAGAATCAAACCCAGGACCTCATGCATACAAGGCAAGCACCCTACCACTGAGCCACTTTCCCAGCCCTAGGATTACATTTTTGAGCCATCACACCCAGTCCTTATTTTGTTATTCTTAAAAAACAGATCTCTGTGTTGTCATGGCTGGTGCTGAACTCCTGGGCTCAAGTGATCCTCCTGCATCAGCCTCCCTAGTAACTAAGACTAAAGGCACATGTTACCATAACTAGCCATGACTCCTTTTAAATTGAAAAAAATGCATACTATGAAACCAATCATTAATAATCACTAGTATGAATTTAAAATGCAAAGTCATACCAAGCTGGTACGTTCCAGTCTTTTTCTGCTGCCAAATTGGGATAATCTCTGTTTGAAATTAGTAAATAGAGATTACTAAATTAAGTAATAGCTCTGCATGACTGCAGGCTTTGATTTCTTATCTTTCCACAGATTCTCAGGCCATGTAGTGTGTTTCCCTGCATTTTCATGCACCTTTCCATTTTCTCTGTCACTCTTGGTATGGATAACTCTTTAAAACTCACACCTTTCTCCTACTTTGCCCTCTCCCCTTCTTTTGTATGTGCTTGTTGGTGTAAAACCATAGGACATATAGCCCATACAATAATAGCATTCGACTTGTCCCCCTGTTCCTCCAGGAAAGGAAGTTCTTCAAAGGCTTCTTTGGAAAAGTAAGTTTGATACCACACCATGCTTGCTTTATAAGGAGTTACATCCCTAGTATAGCACTAATATATACATATATATATGCATACATATATATATATATATTTAAGTACAGATTTTACTTTAAATAATAATTTGACTGTAGAAATTTATGGATTAGTTACTGTCTATGCTATTGCCTATTTATATTTTGAACTTAAACTTGATAATCCAATAAATGAAACAAACTTTAAAAAATGATCTCAACACTTAGTATTAAGTAAATTTCACTTGATCTTGGAAAACTGTCATTTTACTATAATTTATTTTACTAGCAGATCTTAGTATCCAGAACTGTCAAAGAAATGGGAAGAAATATTAAATTCAAAGAAAATTTAAGATACTGTATATTTTATATTCAATGCTATTACTTGTTTCAATCTAAGTTAAATCTCAGAGTAACAAGTGAAAGTACATAAATTTATCTTTGTTGATCCTGATAAAAATTTTTACCTGGGGGGCTGGAAGGTGGCTCAGCGGTAGAGTGCTTGCCTTGCATGCATGAGGCCCTGGGTTCGATTCCTCAGCACCGCATAAGAAAAAGCTGGAAGTGGCGCTGTGGCTCAAGTGGTAGAGTGCTAGCCTTGAGCTGAAGAGCTGAGGGACAGCGCCCAGGCCCAGAGTTCAGGCCCCACAACCGGACCCAAAAAAAAAAAAAATTTTTTTTTTTACTTGGGTGCCAATCTAAGAAAATTTGTCTTAATATTGTACTAAATATCTCTCATATCTGTCTAGTTATTATGGTAGTGGCACAAAAATAAGTAAATACATTTCCTAACATTTTTGATCATTATTTAGTTGTGAATAAGTGCTCTGAGGTAGCCAGATTGAGACAGAGAAAAAGATTGTCATGGACAATTGAGTGTAAGATACTAATAGTTTGAGTATAAAAACCTGTCATGATTTCATTATTTTCTACTGGGTAGTTTTGTTATTTTGGAAATTCATTCTGAAGAATAAAATTTCAATTTCCTTCTCAATTAAATGTCTTAGCTTTAGCCCATGTCTACATTTTCTTTTTCTAGTAGGTTAACATTTACACTAATTTAAACAAGTTTGAAACATTATAGACTTAATTGTTAAATTACCACCATTAATCTAAAATGAAAAGTCAAATAATCAACATATGTCACAGAATTTTTAAGTAGACATTTTGAGTCTAACTCAGACTAACAATTTCTTAAAATACAGGATATAGTCGGGCACCAGTAGCTCATGCCTGTAATCCTAGCTACTCAGGAGGCTGAGATCTGAGGATCATGGTTCAAAGCCAGCCCAGGCAGGAAAATCTGTGAGACTCTTATCTCCAATAAGCCACCAGAAAACTGGAAGTGGCGCTGTGGCTCAAGTTAGAGCTCTCACCTTGAACTGAAGAGCTGAAGGACAGTGCCCAGGCCCAGAGTTCAAGCACCACAACTGACACAAAAAAAAAAAAAAAAAAGCCAGGATACAGCCAGTCATCGGTGACTGATGCCTATAACCCAAGCTACTCAGGAGGCTGAGATCTGAGGATCATAGTTCACAGCTAGCCTACATAAGAAAGTCCAAAAGAGCTGGAAGTGGAGCTGTGGTTCAAGTGGTAGAGCACTAGCCTTGAGAGCTACTTCTCAGTGACAACGTCCAGGCCCTAAGATCAACACACACACAGAATACCAGCTTGGGGGGGGGGAGGGGGGGGATGATGACAGACATGACACATGAGCGTGTCTCTGGGATGGAGCACTTGCTTAGCAATGCGCAAGGCTCTTGGCTTGTTCCCCAGCACTTTGTGCAAAAAATATAAAATTTTGGGCTGGGAATGTGGCTTGGTGGTAGAGTGCTTGCCTAGCAAGTATGAAGCCCTGGATTCAGTTCCTCAGTGCCATAGAAACAGAAAAGGCCAAAAGTAACACTGTGGCTCAAGTGGTAGAGTGTTAGCCTTGAACAAAAGAAGCTCAGGGACAGTGCCCAGGCATTGAGTTCAAGCCCAGGACTGGCAAATGTGTGTGTGTGTGTGTATACACACACACATATATATTTTATGTATAGGATTCATATCTGTAAATAATCTCCTGTAGATATTTACATTATAGATGGCATTATGTTTATTGATAAGGAAGTTTACCACTGTTTAGTCAACTTTTTCTGGAGTTTTTAGTCTTTCCCAAAATAGAATTGCTAAAAATTATTTCAGATCACCATAACTATCATACAATTTTAGTTATCTTCCAAGTGATTGTGTTTACTTTCATTAAAACAATGTTATCTAGGTTATAGAAAATATTATATTATATAAAAATATTAGTAAAGATGTGTTTTTTTAATGTTTACATCATATTTTATGCAAGCAAGATAATTTTCACTCAAAATTAATCCCACAGAGACAATATTTGTTCTTCATACATGAAGGGGTCCTGAGTCATATTAAGCTTGTTAGCTGTTTTACTCTGTTTTGCTACATGATGAATTTATATGGCATAACAAAGAAAATTATGAATCATTCCAATCCTTAAATAACCCTGAATTATTGTTCTACTTGTTATATAATGAGGGAACTGAGATTTATAGATGTCATGACCTGTTGAATCCACAGATTTAATAAGTGTAGTAGTTTGGACTTGAATGCTGATTATCTGAGTCCAGAGCCCACTATCTTAATCGGTGTAGTGTGCAATCATTCCATTTTCATATTATTTATAAATGAAATTTTAAAAGTTTAACCTTAAGAGATGTTAATAAATAACTTCCAAGACAATCACTTTCACTTTCCAGTTTTATTGCCCCCCACCCTGTCCCCTAAGGCTTAAACTCATGGCCAGAGTGCTATCCCTGAGCTTCTTTTGCTCAAGGCTAGCGCTCTACCACTTGAGTCACAGTGCCACTTCTGGCTTTTTCACAGCCAGGCTGGGAAGGTGGCTCAGTGGTAGAGTGCTTGCCTCACATGCCTACGGCCCTGGATTCAATTCCTCAGCACCATATAAACAGAAAAAGCCAGACGTGTCTCTGTGGCTCAAGTGGTAGAGCACTAGCCTTAAACTGAAGAGCTGAGGGACAGTGCCCAAGCCCAGAGTTCAAGCTCCATGACCAAAAAAAAAACCGTTTTTCCTACCCCCAGCTAGCTTCAAACTGAAATCCTAAGATCTCAGGCTCCTGAGTAGCTCTGTTTACAAGTGTGAGCCATCAGTGTCTAGCTTCCAGCTTTCTCTTTGAATAGTAATTCCAGTCCGTTTTCTTTTTATCAGTCAAGTCTTTTTTTTTTTTTTTTTGTCAGTCGTGTGGTCTGAAATCTGGACCTGGGTGCTGTCCCTCAGCATTCTAGCTCAAGGCTAAAGCTCTACCACTTGAGCCACAGTGCCACTTCCAGTTTTTTCTGCTTTGTGGGGCCTGAACTCTGGGACTGGGCACTGACCCTCAGATCTTCAGCTCAAGGCTAGTGCTCTACCACTTGAGCCACAGTATCACTTCCAGCTTTTTTCTGCTTATGTGGTATTGAGGAATCGAACCCAGGGCCTCATGCATGCAAGGCAAGCACTCTATCACTGAGCCACCTTCCCAACCCTCCCATGGGGTTTTCTTAAAAGATGCTAAGTGATCCTATTTTGACATCTGTGAACAAATATGACCATAAATATTATCTTCTGGCCAACTGCCTTTGGCGTAATCCTAGCTACTCAAGAGGTTGATATCTGAAGACAGTAGTTTAAAAGCAGCCTGGCAGAACTGTCCATGAGACTTATTTCCAAATAACCATTTAAAAAAAAGAGGCAAGGAGAGAAGGAAAAGGAAGCCAGGGAAAGGAGAGGAAGGAAGGGAGTAGGAGGGTAGAGAAAGGAAAGGGAGAGGGAAAGGGAAAAGCTGGACTGCAGGTATGGCTCAAATGGTAGAGCACCAGCCTTGAGCAAAAAAGCTAAAGGAGAGCACAAAGCCCTGAGTTTAAGCCCCAGTAACAAAAAGAACAAGAATTATTGGAAAAAGGAGAAACAAGCATTATCTATAATCTCACCAGGAATGTGCTTTTAAATGTAAAACTTTAATTTAGAGCCAGTTCAGTCTTTCTGGTTGCCATCATTCAGTTTTCTCCAATATCACCCTGCAAGAAATAGACTTCTTTGTTAGTCTTTAAGTCTGAGTGATTTAATGGTCCTGGCTAAAGGACAACAGTAATCAAGAAACATTTCTACCAGATACTTCTGCAGAGAAATAAATAGGTGGAGGAACTATAAGCTCTAATTGTAAATTTATCGTCATGGCCAGAAGAACTGATTCCTCTTTTTCCTAATTAACCTCTTGGACTTGACCATTATCACTTCTGTATTCCTGTATTTCCTGCATTACCTGCTCATGTAAGCAGTATCTCCTGAAATTTTAATAGCAGAGAACAGATAAAACTGGCGTGGTACAGAATTTTATTATAAACATTTTAATAGTATGATACAGAAGTGTATTATAAACATCTTAAAAGGAAAGGGGAAAGCCAGGCATTGATGGCTCAAACCTAGAATCCTAGCCACTCTGCGATCTGAGGATCACAGTTTGAAACCAGCCTAGGAAGAAAAGGCTGTGAAGCTGTTATCTCCAATTAACCACCAGAAAGCTAGAAGTGACACTGTGGCTCAGAGTGGTTGAGCACAAAAGCTCAGGGACAGTTCCCAGGCCCTTAGTTCAAGCCCCACAACCAACAAAAAGAAAGAAAAAGAAAAAATAAATGAGGACCTGAGATAACTTTTCCAAACTAGCTACCTGAAAACTTCATCGAGCCAGGCGCTGGCAGCTCACACCTGTAATCCTAGCTACTTAGGAGGCTGAGATCTGAGGATCATGGTTCAAATCCAGCCCAGGCAGGAAAGTCCGTGAGACCAGAAAACTGGAAGTGGCACTGTGGTTCAAGTGGTAGAGTGCTAGCCTTGAGCTGAAGTGCTAAAGGACAGCGCCCAGGCCCAGAGTTCAAGCCCCATGACTGGGGAAAAAAAAAACTGTTCAAATACCT